TTGGCTGCAAAAATGAAGTGTCATCCTCTCTGTAAGCAGTCCTCATGCCATGCTCTGCGTTCCCTTCTGGTATAATGCTGGGTCCTCTCAAAGTGCTTTGCTTCAACTCAATGGTTCTGGCCATTCATTGATACTCGCGCAGAACACCACCTTCTTCCTGTCACTTGGTTTCTTCTTCATTCTTCTCCACAGGGAAATTTTCAGATAATGCAATATTCCTACGCTCTCTGTGCCATTTTACATGCTCTAGCAACATAAGGGGTGTTTGAGATTCTAAACAAGATTAAAGCAAGTTTGGTTAAAAATTAATTTGGGTTTGTTTGGGGTTTTTTAACTTCTTTTGAAGCATGGGCAGGGAATAAACCTGAAGTATTTTTTTTTTCCTAAAGGGAGAGACTAAGCTCAAAAAATGAATGATTGGCTTGACATAGCTGTTAAGTCTCATCCCCTCAACTGCCCTGCTGAAGCTTCACAAGTATGGGCTGCTTTTGTTAGACTTCAGAGAGTCTCTCCTCCATGCATACACATTAATACACATACATCTTAACATACACTGACTGCTATTTGGGAGCACATTTAAAGCCAATTTCAGTGTTGGAGAAGGTATTGTTACAATATGGTGATGGGTGAAATATCTTCTGTTAGGGAGTGAAGTGTTTGGGGGAGCAGTGTGGATTTGAGCTGCTGAAAGCTGCACAAGTCACTGTCAGGCTTGCTTGGAGCTGTGGATGGGGGAGGACTGAGAGGGATTGTGGAGATGTTTGTGTAAAGTTTGAGGATTTTTAAGTATTAGAAAATTGCAGTAGTTTGGTGCAGAAGAGGTGTTCAAAGCAAGGTGCAGCAAGGGTTGTGGTTATCTTGAAGGTTATTAAAAAAATATCCCAACCAGACCTAGAAGCCTGGGATTTTTTTAAATTGCTGCTTAGCTATAGCAGGGACAGTCTAAACAAAATGCAGAGTCATCCAAGAGGCATGATAGTTTGAGCCTGATTTCTGCTATTGCCCACCAGCCTCTTTAAGGAGGGGAGAGAAGAGAAGATAGCCCCCTTCCATTTGCTCTCCACGTGTAACTTCAGACAGGTGGGAGATGCTTACAAGAGCATGGAAGAAAGGGACAGGGTGCAGGAGTAAGCCTGCTCTGGGACACAAGTGAAAGATGTTTATGCACATCTGCATGGTTATGTTCTAGAGGAGAGTGAGGATGGCAGCTGGGATGATGGCATAGAAAGGCGATTACTTTTTAAAAAAATCTTGTGTCTCTCACAGGTTACACTGAAAATGGGAAGTCCTCTCACACCAGGCCTGTCATGGATAAAAGTCCTGAACGGGTTATGATCTAAGCACATGAGAAAGTTTAGGATGCAGCTCAGGAGGAATGGTAGAATATTTGTACTGTTAGGTAGGAGTAACCTGCTTCACAGCTGAGGCTGTGGGAGATGGAAAGCTGGCCAGTGTAGGAAAGGATCTGGTGTTCTTGAGAATCAGAAGTTGAACATGAGTGAACAACCCCAGGCTATTAGGGAAAAGCAAGTGTCATGTTCCAGTGTATAAACAGGATTAGATCCCGTAGGACATGGGAAGCAACCCTTCCTCTTTGTGAAACATTTGCAAGGCCTCAGCTGGAACAGGGTGCCCAGTTCTGAGCACCACATGTCGATGGCAGAGCAGGGGGCAGCTGGGTGGACAGGTATGGCCAGATATGTCAGAACTGCAGGAAACGTGTGACGTGTGAGGGTCAACAGAAGAATTCAGAGCTTTTCAGACTCTGGAAATGTGAAGAACCATTTTCAAAAACACAGGTTTCTGTAGCAAGAAATAACCTGTTTGCTGTGACTGTGATGGATGGGAGAGGAAATAGCATGCTTCAGCTGCAGGAAAGGAGACAGAATAAACAAAGAAAGGAAGTGTAGGCATGGTGAGACACTGAAATCGACTGCACAGGGAGGTCATGGAGTCTCTGCTAGTGAAGGGGTTGAAGATTCAGTTCAACTGACCAGTTGGGGTAGCATAGGCCTGCTTAGTTCGGTTTTCAAGGGAGAGGTGGATAATTCAGTCTTTCAAATACCTTTCTGTTCCCCTTTTTTCTATGATCTCCTAACACTGTTGCATGTGTGAGTTGTACATTAGAGGTGTTGTTTGGTAAGGCAGCAGGTGGCTGGAGCACATGAAATGTAAGAATGTCAACTGAAAATAGCTTTTAAAGCAAAGGGTGAGGAGTATAAAATTGGTATAGAGGGCTAGTAATGTAAATTAGAAATGAAAAATGGAAAAAGTAATCAGAAGATACATGTTATTTGCCCCATTCCACAGTGTGCTGCCTTTTTGGTCAGAAGAAAGTATGTGAGTTTAAGGCTAAAGCAAATACTAAGTGTCTTGTGAACTTTGAGTGCCTTTTTTGAAGGTTCAGCCTCTGGTAACTGAATCCTCAGGATTGCTTTGCCTGAGGGAGGGACAGTAAAGGAAGAAATGCTTTCTTCCGTTAAAGAATAGCCTGTAGAGCACAACAACAGGAGTGGTTGTATAGAAATCAGCTGGAGCTTGTTGAGAAAACTACCCAGGTAAATAACAGAGGAAAAGTATGAAACCTTCAGGACAGCCAATTGACTATTACAAGGTAAAACATAGGTGTCATACTGGCATATGAGGAGGCCCAAAAGACAAGAGAAAGGATGAAAACTGATACCTGTCCATATATGCACATAGTCTGAGAGCATTACGTGATGCCTGAGGAGCAAGTGTGAAAATGGGAAGGGCTTAGGATATAGTCAGAAATTTGGTTCATTGAAAGTATTGTTTTATTTGCATCAGTGTTGTTGGGAAGGATGGATGAGCACATTATCTGTTCATGTAAGCCAGATACAAGCAAGCAATAGAAAGAAAAGTTAAAGTCAACAAGATGCTTTGATGGGAAAATCTCAAGTCTCTGGATTTAAGCTGGAACATAGGAGGTTCCACTTGAATATGAGAAAAAACTTCTTTACAGTGAGGGTGACAGAGCACTGGAACAGGCTGCCCAGAGAGGTTGTGGAGTCTCCTTCTCTGGAGACATTCAAAGCCCGCCTGGATGCGTTCTTGTGTGATCTGATCTAGAGGTGTTCCTGCTCCGGCAGGGGGATTGGACTAGATGATCTTTCGAGGTCTCTTCCCATCTCTAACATTCTGTGATTCTGTGATTGTGTCTTGAAAAAAAAATTGTATCGTAGACTGAAAAAAGGGATGTGCTGAGGCTCCAGCCCAAAACTGATCTTATTTCCAATAAGGGTTTTAGCTGTGTGAATAAAACCAGCTATCCTCTCAGTCAAAAAATGTCACTTTAAGGCGCTTGAAGGGAGAATGCAGGACAGCTGTTACAATTAGTGTGTAATCTGATTAGCCTGTACCATTTTCCCCCAGTAGGTACTTGCTTGATTTGATTATAACAGTGAAGATATAGTGCAGTTTCAAAAGACAGACCAGATAATCTTGGATTATCTGAGCTCAATAAAACTGTCCCCTGTGGATCAGACCTCTATTTGTATTGTTTTTTTAAGGCCAATAAGGCATCAGAAGTGCCTTTACTGGCAGTTGTAGCTACATGCCAGGAACCTGCCAAGATGGATGTACACAACATTCCCCTCCCCACCTCCTGCTTTCAAAAAGTAACCATCATAGAAGTGTTATTAAGTTACTCCCCAGTGAGAAACCCTATGTTGTCAGAAGTTATTACTAGGAAGACAGTGGTTATTAATGATGTACCAAGTTGCAGGCTTCAGCGTACCTTTGGAAATGATACAGATGTGTTTATTTGCAGATGACTGGTTAATTTTGCTTTGAATCAGTAAGCAATCTGCAGAAAATATATGTAGCAAGTAGCTAGGTATAATTTATTCATTATTCCTTTAGTTAGTCTGTTTGTCTTTATTCCATATTGTCAGTTTTTTACCTGCTGTTAGTAATAAAAGCAAACAGAAAACCCATGCAGCTGAAGATGTAATTTCTTTAGCATTTTTCAAATGGGCAGGGGATTAATCTTTTCTTGGAATGAGTTGATTTACTGTAACTGCTGTCTAATGCAATACTATAAGTTAAAATCTTATAAAAATTTTAAGTACTCCTTTGAGACAAGGAGTCATTTGCAGTATCTATGTAGAGTTATCTCAGTCGTTTTTGGTTGCTGGTATGGAGAGAAAATATAATTTGTAGAAATTCATCGTCATTTCAGACAATAAACTGAAACAACGTCAGTTAAAACAATTGAAGAAAATCAACAGTGTCATTTGACACCTCTGATTTAGAGATAAATTAAAATTTCAACATGCCCCATTTTTCCATATATTGTAGACTGACAACAGTTAATGTCCTAACTAAACATATGCAAAAAAAAAAAAAAAAAAAAATCCAGTTAGTTTACCAGCACAGGTATGATTCCATTTTAACCAAATGCTATTTTGTGTGTTGTTACCTGTAAAACTTTTTACTTCCAGTGGGATCTTTCTCCATTTTTTCCCAAGTCACAAATTTTTCGTACAGTTATTTTGCACTGTAAATTTGGAGACCTGAACTTTCTCAGGAACATAATGTTACTGTGGGACTGTTCCTTGGTCTGATCTTCTGACAATTTCACTTTTAAGGAGTTATTGTTTGCTGCCTGGCCACTTTCCTATCTTAGGTGAAGTTGGAAATTCCTTCAGGACAAATTTTGATATTTTTGAGCATCATATTCCATAAGTCAGCCAGAATTTGACTCAGTTTAAGAGTCTAGCAGACAGTCTATAGTGTGGAAAATCAAAAATAATTCTGATATTGAAGTCAAGCCAAACAAGCAGAGGCATCCTTTTTCCTCACCTTATGAGTCTCCTGTTAACAGAAAACTGTAAAGATTTGGGATATACCTTGTTAAAAAAAATTATTTACAAATAAGCTATGCCTTTTTTCCCCACATAAGTTTGTACTCTGTCTCTCCAAAAGTACAGTTTGTCATACTGTTTACCACTCTAATTTGAACTGAATTTATTTTGTAGCTATCCCTTGAACAACAGTGACCTGCATCAGTTCAACATTGAGGAGAATGGTGGAGCACCATATACCACAAAAATGCCTGCAAGGCACCACCACCACCACCGTCATCACCATCACCACGCGAATTATGGTGCCCTTGCTCCTGACAGCAAAGACATTGTTTCTGGAGTTCCAAACCCAAACAGTAAGTTCACTGCAGTGAATGCCATTTCAGTAATTGTGCCGCTTTCAGATCTGTCTCTGGCAAGGAGGCAAAGGAAAGGAAAACAACACACATTTCAGTTTTTCTTCTTGTAGAATATATTTCCTGTTATTATTTGCTAGCTTTGTAGTATGTGGAAATGAGACAAGATTTGCAATTTCCTGTCTTTGCTACGGGGTTGTGGGATTTGGTGTCAGATTTGTGTTCCATAGCTGAACAAATACCCAATTAGTCACAGATACTGAGTCTCTGGACACTTGGCACAGGCTATTTTTTCATTGCTGCTATTTATTTGTATAGTTTCACAAACCTATCCTCATCTGCCCTTGTCTGATCTGCCCAGCTGGCCTTCAGCCCTCATTGTTTGGATCTGACTCTTGCTTTCATGTCTGGGCACAAACAGAAGAAGTTTTGGAGCACTGGACAAACAGCATCTTGCTCTTAGCTTGGGTAATGGGAGCAATTCCTGCTCAGCCTTACCTACCACAACTGGAGTATGCTTGCTTGTTTGGTGGAGAAATTCTTGGCTTGTAGGAAGCAAAGAGGAGTGAAGACTATCTGTTCCTGATGCAGCATTGGGGAGTTTGGGTGCAAGTCTCTGCTGCTGAACGTGTACAAGCTTTTTTAAGGGTACCTAGCGTGAACAAATGTTTGTAGGTTTACCCAGGAAATGGAAGAGAAACATCCTTGCTATTGAGCAATCCTACTTCCTGCTCTCCAAATTGATAATCTCTGTGCTCTGCAGTGTGCTGAATGCTGAAGCTGTATAAAATTTCAGAAGATGGGCAAAACAAGATATGTTCTTTTCGTTATTTTCCATGTCTCAAGAGGATGATAAGTTCTTCCTTTGCTCAGCTTTTGCCTTTGTAATTGTAAATCACCCTGAGATAGGCATTCATTGTGGAAACTTTCAGCCTGGGCAGTTAATCTGACAACTTTCAAATTCCTGAAAGCAGGGTCGGTGGTAGGGTGACCTTCACTGTAGGCTGTCCCACCTCAGCAGTAATGCACAGGCATCGAACTGCCCAGGCACTTTAATCAGACTTTGTTTCAGAAACCCAGAAACATTTTGTATAATTTGCTTTCCCAAGGAGAGGGAGATAACAGTTTTTAGGAGGGAAGCTCAAGAAATAAAATGCAAGACATTGTAAACATTTAAGGGAGGAATCCTAAGCAGCAATGCAAATTGCTTGCTGGGACTTTCAATGAAGCTACTCCTTTAAGAGCAACCTCCAGGAGATGTGCTGTGCTTCTCTGTCTTTCATTGATTTTACACTCCAGGCTGGCGTCCCTTTGTGCTGCGAAGCGCGTGGGGCTGGCATGGTGCACCACCAGCACGGCTTCGCCCCGCCTGGTGCTGCCGTGGGGGTTGGGGTGGGCCAGCAGGCACTCCTGCGCCACTGACAGGGTATCCACACCTCGGCCATGGTCTGCAGCGACTGGC